ACACGCACACATATATAGTGTGGCTTATGTGGTCCGCATAAATAATTTAGTCTGTGGAGTTCACTACTAAAATATGGACTATAGTTTGTAATTAAACATCATGGTCCGATCCAAAATCTGATCTCCAAACAGCAAGTGATCCATATCATGGTTCGTTGACCACAGTCAGATCGATGCCGTGGTTCTGCAACCACAGCGTGGTCCACAATATGAAAATTGTCCAAACCTGCCCAAACAATATCTAAATGCATAAATTGTTTTGTAACACACTATCCCAAAATTAACGAGCTTCGATGTACTTGTGTAAATTTCTTTCTAATGCGTGGTCCAAGTAGCTAGCCATATACAATATTTACACAGCAAACATGTTTATGCGCTCTGTTCTGGTGTAGGCATCTATAGTAGCCTAATGGCAAGTAAACCATTCCCTGCTTACTTTATTGATCACTTGAACATTGGTAGCATTGATTAGTAGTGGAATCTAAGCCAATTTGCCATTCAAACAATGCAGTATATACATTGGATTTTCTTTTGTCTTTCTTTTGCAGCTGCATGGTGCCCCGCCGGAGCTCATTAACAAGCTGATCCCTGAGCACGCAAGGAATCAATCTCTTTTGAGTTTCTAACTTCTGGGCAAAGCATTCATATGCACATGGCTCGAGGTCAAGTGCTAGCTGCCTATTCAGGCAATGGAGAGGCGGTATTCTTTACTCAAACTTCAGAGGAGGCACCCATAGGCTGAATTTCCTCGGTCTCATCATGTTTGCCTGGGGTTTGTTTCTCCTAGTCTTTGTTGTGCCAGTTTTTTCTGGCTTTGTATATTTCTAGATCTGGTGGTAGTGTTATTATACTGATCATAAGCATGTTAGATGAAGATGAAGCAGGAGTCTTGACTGGAGAGAGAGAGTGAGATAGAGAGAGAGAGAGAGAGAGGAGTAGGTTTTTGGGTGTTGGCTGGTTGTCAATTTTGCCACGGTCTGCAAAACTCCAAAAGCCAAGTGTTTTTTCTTTTGCTTTTTGTTCTTCTTTTCTTTCTGTGCTCTTTACTTAAAGTTGTTTTTCTGATACTGTTGAATGTGTTAATGCATATTTATTTGTGTACATCAGTTTGAAAAAAATCTCCTTGAATCAAGCTCACTGTTGTATGTTCATTTAGACTTGTGACTTTGGAGTAAATTCATTATTACGATTTTCTGCAAGTTTGGAACTTTCATCCATGTCTTGGTCAAGAGAGGAGCTAGTTTTGTGGTTTTTTTTGAAGTTATTTGCGCTATTACTGCATGCATCCATCTTGTGCGTGTGAATGCACTGGTCACTAGCGTGTGTGCGTAAAACCCATGTCAAAGAATGTTCAAAGAGAGATTGATTCCCGTGTTCCGTTTTCAGTTCCATACTGCATTGTTGTCAATCTCTTCAGCATGTTCGATAGTTGGAAGCCACGGCTTTTAATTACAGACTTGTATACAATGAGATCATTTACCTTTTATATAAGGTGGTTACAATTATGTACAACCATCCGATGTGAACTCTGAAAGCTTAGGTGTGTCACAAAGTTTGAGAAAATTTCTTTTGAAGTTTGAGCTTGGTCAATGGAATAAATGCAGCCATCTAATTTCACATCCAATGATCAAGATTAATTTTGACCACTTTGTACAAAGATAAATGGTCTTATTGTATACTTTTCTTTTTCTTTTAGTTATTGTATCATGTTTGTGTTTGTTAAAGTGTTATGCTGTTTTGGAAGCTGCAATTTCCATGCGATTGCATAAAAACAGTGCGTTCCAATTTTGGTAAAAACGTGATTGTGGCAGTTGCTTCTTCCACCGATCAAACAAGCCTTTAATGTCAGCTAGCTTTTCGCACGCTTATATAAACGAAGTGAGTGCAAGAACGATTCAGACGAACGTTAGAATGCAACGATAAAAACTTTTGAAACAATGAACTTTAACATCCGCACATAATATGGGGAATCGCTTTGTGTAGACCATATACCCGCTTGATCCGGTCGGATCTGAGGGGAAACTTCCCGTTTCCGAGATATTGTAGGGTCTTAGATGTTTTTTTATTCGATATATTGTAGGGCTTTGGATGTTTTTTTATCCGAATGGAGCGATTCTGATTTGCATAGGTACTTTTTTAAACGCTCGTTATAACAAGTAAAAGAGCGAGACTTAGCAACGGTTTCTCTTCAGACAATCTTGTTGCTCTTCATACAATTTTTGCACGTTAACAGGAGGGGTTATTATTCTGAAATTGAATGTTATAACCACTATTTAACAGTTTTGTGGTCCTTGAGAGCATCGTTACGAGGATGTATTTGGTAGTGAGTTTTATAGGAATATTATTGTGTTTGTACTTTCAATAAGGAATTCACTGGGAGTTTAATATATTAGACATATATATTATATATGAATCCAAATTACATACAAGCAAGATCTTAAATATGCTAATGTTTTTACAAATAACAAAAGTCAAAGTTGAAGTAATTTTTAATGTACATGAAAACTAATATTAGAAAACATATTGTAAATTGATAGGCTTAGCTTAAATATCTGTCATCACTTCTTGCAAATTTCTCGTTATTTCCTGTGTTGAGATTCTAGAGGTATTTTTAGGTGAAATGACATGCTACCTTTCAAATTCATACATATTGCATTTTAAAAGGTCTTTTTATTGTGATGGTAACGGGAAGCTTTAACGTGGTAAGTTTACTTAAGGGAAAATTGCAATGTGATAAGTTTACTTTAGGGAAAATTGCAATAAAAGTAGGCTTTCTAGACAATCTCCCCCTTCTCCCAACCAATTATTTTTTTCGCAACTTTTGTTCTGAAACCAAGTCTTATAGCAAATACTACCCCTCCCCCCTTAAAGTCAAAAAGTTATAATTTTTTAACAAAAATACCTTTTAGTCAAAAAGTCACATTTCTCAACATGATTTGCCTACGGCTGACACTCTAACCAAAGTGTCCGACAACTTGTTCACATGGTTTGAAACATCCATGTTTCAGTCTGGCAATTGTGGCTTGATTTGTCTTCACCCGGTCCGACAGTTTTTGCACTCGATCCGGCACTTTGGTTTATGTTTCTTTTATAGTCCGGCAATCTTGTGATGGGCTCCGGCCGGTGAAGAGCAATCCAGTAAAAGGTTCCCTTGGTCCGGCACTTTTTGTTTCCGGTCCACTACTATTATAATGGGCATTTTCATTCAAACAATTGTGACTTTTTCTCTTGGGGGTATTTGCTATAAAACTTCGTGTTAGGGTAAAAGTTGTAAAAAAAGGTTTGGTTGGGAAATGTTGTTTAGAAAGTCTACTTTGGGAGTATTTACAATTTTCCCTTTATTGTATCAAGATATTATAAGAATTAATATCGACAATAGAACTTGTCATGCCAAATAAGGATAAACTCAAATGCTCAGATGTAATTATCACTACATGCGAGTGAAGTTTCCATTTGATCTTCTATTTTTTTATCCAACACTAAATATGAACAGTATGAATAAGTTCCTAACTTCCGGTTATCAAACACATCTGATGATTGTGTTTGGCTCTTTAATATTGAAAGAGGAGATTTGATACGGAGAGGCACTAGGGGAGGAGGTCAAGGTCAAAGCGTTTTTAAAATCCGGAATTGCAACATTTTAAGTGAATTGTAAAATAAGAAAGTCTCTTTACCTCATCAATCGTGAGTGAATATAAATTTTGCTCGTAGAAGACAATTACGGATTTTTTTATGCCGCTTAAAAGAAAAACAAAAAGAGAATATACCACAAAATAATATGAGAAATTAAGGTTCTATAGAAAATTTTTGCTATCATTTTTTAGCTTGAGGTCCACCATTATCCGTTAGGTTTCTCTTTTATGGAAGTGTGAATAAAATTTATTAACCATGGTCAATGTTGTATTCCACGTGTTGGTTGCGAATTCAGAATATTGGAGCTATCATGGAAAAATTCTTTCCTATAATCAAGGCCACCGTATTCACCTATTGACAATTATCTGTGTGAACCTTCTTTTCATTATTTCCTTTTAAAATGTATACTAGATTGGGTTTAGCCATTGGGTTTTGATTACTAGATTCACAACTTTTTCTTTGGGTAAAATTCAACGGAAGTATGAGATTATTTATTTTTGTTACAAGGAGGTCTCGATTATGTATAGCTATTAGATGTCAAATTAGATGGCTTGGGATATACTACAAAGTTGATTTTTTTTTTTTTTTGAGCTTTGAGTTTAGTTAATAACACTTTTACAACTACTCGATTTAAAATCTCACGAATAAAAATGATTGTGACATCTTTGTACCTGGAGTACTTTTCCAAATTATTCGTTTAAAAGAACCCATATGTTTTCCATAACGGTGGCGATCCAATAAACCAGGTTAGTCAATTTTAACATTAAAAAGGAAAGAAAACAAAAACAAAAAAAAAACTAGGCTATAAATGGTGCTGATCTAATAAACCTGGTTCATCTGCATGTAATGATGACGAAACTGGATCAATACATAACCACTTGCGTTCCAAAGTGAGCATTGGGAGAGTATGATCCCAATCAAACCTCCCATGTCAATTCCTCTATGTTGTTTACTAATTTCTCTTTGCAACGTAAATCTTCTTAAGCTCATGGTATTAATATTTGTTGCTCATAAAAAAATATAATATTTTTTCATTTTTTTTGTGACATGTTAATGGGTAATGAATTTGTTGGTATCATATTGTGGATTTGTTAGCCACATTGACCACCTAAGCCAAGGGCGGATTTCTTACCATGTTCATGGAGTGAGACGATTGAGAGTTTTTCTTCAAAGTGGCTAAAAAAACATAGCATCCTGGAATTGAATAAAGTTCGTCCAATAATTACGAGGGTTAAATCCCTTTGTCAGTAAAAGAATTTTAGGAGATTTGTTGGTTGAAGGAGATTCTCTCAATGTTATTAAATGGTGTAAGTAAGAACGAAGAATTTCATGGTCTCTACACGCTTTTGGGCTATAAGATTTTTTACCTTTGCTCTACTTCAGGACTACGGGTCTCCTTCCATCATGTATTTCGTGAGGCAAATGATGCCGTTGATGAACTTGCAAAATTTCTTTACCTTCTTTGCTTCTTACGAATGCTTTAGTTCCTCATATGTAATATGATGCTCTCCAAGCAACTATTCAATAAAAGTTTTTAACATTGTAAAAAAAAAAAAATTCTTCTAATAAAAACTCACTATTTTCAATACCCTAATTTTTGGGATGTAACTTGAAATGCAATTTTTTCTCTTGGAAATATCCATCTTGCATTTGTAAAAGGGAAAACTTTATATTGAGCCTAGGCTGTAAACAATCAAATTAGAGCCTACCTCAAAACTTTCACTAGAAGAGGTTGTTTTGATGCCCAAATATCATCAAATTAATCATCAAGATGCATGAGAAAACATGGATTTCAAGTTTTGGAAATAGTGCATCTTGTAACGCATTTTTGGACTGTTACTTTTCAAGATTTTCAAGTTTTCTTAGATATACTCGATCTACATAATTTTTTAAGCTTTAAATTTTATAACTAAAGATGAAAATATAATTTAAGGCCATCAGAAAATTTTACAGCATTGAAACCATATTTCTCGACGCTATTTGAAGGTGGCCTCTAATTGGATTGTTTAGAGCCTCGGCTCTATACAAACCACGCCCCTTGCAAAAAGGCACCCTGGAAAGTGCCTCATGCCTAAATCTAACTGGATTAGCAGTGGTGGAAGAACCAGATCGGAAAAATGAGGGATTTTAGTTGTAAAGTAGTTCGAATGCATTACTAGGCTTGCATCCTCGATCGATGCAAATAAGTGACTAAGACCAATGATCTAAGTGTTTTTCTTCACAAAATTATTATTATTTTTTTATTTTTAAATTTTTTTTTTCATATCAAATGATGATTATATATATACAAAATCATCTCAAAATAGGAATTTAAGAGAGGACTCATTTCTACATTTGAAAGGTAGTTTAGTTTTTTGTGTTTAAGGGGCGGTTTGTATAAAGCCGAGGCTCTAATCAATCAAAATAAAGTACACATTCAAATAGTGTCAAGAAATGTGGTGTCAATACTGAAAATCTTTGTCAAAGCCTTCATCTTTAATTATAAAATTTAAACCTTAAAACATAGTGTAGATCGAGTAAATCTATGAAAACTTGAATATTGATGGTCCAAAAATGCATTACAAGATGTACTATTTTGAAAACTTGAAATCCATTATTTTTCTCTTGTCAATACATCTTAATGTCGAGATGATCAATTTGAGAATAATTGGGCATCAAAACAACCTTCTCTAGCGAAAAATTTAAGGTAGACTCCAATTTGATTGTTTAGAGCCTCGGCTCTATATAACATTTTTCCCTTTTCTTTTAAGGTGCGGTTTATATAGGGCCCAAGATCTAAACAATCAAATTAGTGCCCACCTTCAAATAGTATCGAGAAATATGGTTTAAATAATGAAAAGTTTTGTGATAGCCTTAAATTATATTTTCATCTTTAGTTATAAAATTTAAAGCTTTAAAAATAGTGTAGATCGAACAGATATGTGAAAACTCAAAAATCTTGAAAATGGACAGTCAAAAAATGCGTTACAAGATGCACTATTTTCAAAACTTGAAATCCATTTTTTCTCATGTCTATGCATGTTGATGTTGAGAAGATCAATTTGATGATATTTGGACATCAAAACAACTTCTTCTAGTAAAAGTTTTGAGGTAGGCTCTAATTTGATTATTTAGAGCCTAAGCTCTATATAAACTTTTCCATTTCTTTTAAGGGAAATGCTTCTATATTTCCCCTAGAGTATAGAAGATGTATGCTTCTCCTACCATCCAGCCCTCTAATTTTGATCAAGATATCCACTCACAATTTGATATTAGATCTGACGTTTTAAAGTGTTTTATTTTTATTTTTTTTATACAAATTGCATGAATATAAAATTTAGTACGTGTCATCTTCTCATTGGGGTGCACCTATAAAAATATATAAAAACTAATTTTTCAATAAAATATAATGATCAAAATACCTCTTGAATCTTTCAAAAGTATTTTTGGTTATTTTATATTATTGAAAATAATTTGTTTATATTTTTGGCTAGTACAATTTTAATAGAAGATTAACCTTGGTATTAAAATAGTTTATAGAAAAAAATTTAAAATAAAATAGTGTAGCGGCTGACATTGTGATTGAGGCAAAGAAAAAAAAAAAAAAAAAAATCTAGCAGGGTTGTAGATGTCTTTAATAATTTTTGCAAGGGCACTGAAGGTGTATCGACAACTTTGGCGGAACAGGGGACACACATCGCCGCTTCCGATGTGAACATGCAATTTTTTTGGGTGCGGTTTTCAGAGCTCTACTTCTTTTTAGCCTGCACTTACTTCGAGGATTTTTCAAAACTCTAAGCCCTCGAGCACCTAAACTATTGCTTCAATGGCGCCAGACCACATGCTCCAAACACCATGTTGCCTTCTCCATTCTTCTTCTCAAACCCTAATAACAACAACACTGAACAAACTGCTGCATCTCTGTCTGGTGCCGTTTTAGTCGACCATGGTGGAAAATTCGGCTGCAGTTGCAGTTAGGCTGTTATTGTTCTGTGCTTTTCCTCTGGTTATTCATGGCATGGATCCTCTGCTATCTCCCAAGGGTGTCAATTATGAAGGTGTTTGAAATAACAATATCTCGTTTTCTTCTTTGAAGTTGCGGAATGGAGTCGTTTTTGCAAATTTTGAGGGATTTTTGTTGTTTATGTCGGAGATTTTGTTTGATTGATGATTTTGGTTTTCCAGTGGCGGCTCTGATGGGTGTGAAGAGCGGAATGAAAGATGAATTTCATGTATTTGAAGGGTGGGATATTAACTCTGTTGATCCTTGCACTTGGGCTATGATTGGCTGCTCTCCAGAGGGTTTTGTGATAGCACTGTGAGCTCTCTCTCTCTCTCT